AGGGGCCGCATCCTGCTGGGAATGACCGCTCGCATCCCCCGAGCTCCGCTCACCCAGCGCCTGTCCCGCTGCTGCCGAGCCCGGGCTCCCGGTCCCTTCCTACCTCTATAAATATCATGGTAGAAGCGATTGCGCAATCGTTGCGGGGTCATGGGTCGCGCTACCCAGGAGCCGCACATCTGGCAACACCCGTCTCTCGAGGAGGAAAGGCTGTGCTCCCTAGCAGAGTGCCAAAACCACACTTTGAGTGGGAAACGTGATCTTGTTTCCGAGGAAGTGTGGCCAACACCTCATTGTGGGGAGAGTCTGTCCCCGAGCCATTCTCATGTCCTGTGATTGACAACAGCCCTGATCCTGTGCTCTGTCACTCTGCTGGACGTTTTCTTGCAGAACAAGCACTGGATCATGCTTGAAATCTAGCTTGGGTACCAGTCAAGCAGCTGGTACCAAAAATGGCAGAGCATGCTTCAGAGGATCCTAAATGGCCTCATGTAAACGGAAAAGACTTTGCAGCAAAAAGCTGAGGGATATCAGACAGATGTTAACCCCTCCCACAAAAACAGTGAAGGGGACTAGGTTGCACAATGCTGGGGCTTCCCTGGCTTGCACTGAATCAGTCCAGGTTTTCATCCTCTTGTCAGGAAAATTAATCCACAAACACCAGAGGTTTATGTCCAAAAAGGAGACAGAGGAGTCCTTTTTCTTTATTCGAATAAAGGGAGAGGCCATGGGGCATTCCCCTGGGGTCTCTCAAATTTTTGGAGGGCGCAGCCTCCTTTTTATCCTAATTCCCGGCCGCTTGTCCCTTCTCTCTTTCTCCATAGGCTGAGGTACTTGAGAGGTACAGGCTTCCCAGAACGCCTGACACCTGGGGTACCTTCCCCCCCCACCCCCAATGCATAATCCCTTCTTAACTTTTATGGAATTCATAGTGTTCTTTCAGTGCCTCTTTGATCTTCTACTGGAATCCATCCCATTGTTTCTGTCGTCTCTCACTGATAGCTACATCTTATCAACTGACCCACAGCTTGTTTGTAAAGACAAGCTCATCATTCCTCTCACTCTGATGTGCACCACATTCAGATGGTTGAAATCTCTGTAAAAGCCCTTCCATATAGGGGTAGGCTGTGCCCATGCCCCTGACCCTAATCAAGAATATTTCTCTCAGGTTTTGGGAAAAGAACAGTCTTGACGCTATTCCATGGCAGCTGTAGGTCTTGGGCCTTGCCAATATCTTCTACAAAGGCTCAAAATGTAGCAAGTAGTGGATTCTACTGTTCTTCCTCACACTCTCCCCACACAGTTTGGGCCAAGTTTCACCAAATCCTGTCAATGCACCCACAAGGTTCCCTGGAAAGCCCATAATGAGCAACATCACCTTGACTGCAAAGAGAAGCATGGTACAATTGCTAACTTCTGCATTCTCTGAAATGTTACAACTTTCAAGAACAAGACCATTCCCCAGATAAATCAATGCCAGTTCTCTTGTATTACAGGATAGAGATGTGAGAGGTTCATATGCTGCCCCCACACAGTGCCCTGCCAGGGTGCCCTTGCCAGGGTGTGCAGTGAGACTGCTCAGAGTACAGAAAGATGAAAGCTCACTGGTTGCTCTGCAATGACCTAAATAGCTTAGCTATGAAAGAAGTTTTGATTCCATTTCCAGGAATCAAAAAATGACTTCCAGTTTGATTTTGATTATGATGTGCTCTCCAGTAGTAAAACAAAGACCTTTACTCAGGTGTAATAACAAAGGGTAGTATCAAATACAGCTGGTCATCTTGGCTTGGGTATTTCAAACATTGCAAAAATAATGATAAAAAGCAGTGTATTAGTTCCTTGTTTTGCTTTCCTTTAATGTAAAGCTTTCAGTTTACCCACTAAACCAACATTCTCTCAAGCCACAGATTTTTCACTTTAACTCTTCTGATTCCTTCCCTGATGGGGCTGGCAGGGGAGGCAGTGAGTGGCTGCCTGGTCCTTTGTTGCTGCCTAGGGTTAACCCTGGGCAACCTGTTCAGAGCAGACAAAACCAGCCAGGCTCTCACAGGCAGCTGTTCTGCTCTCACCTCTCCCTGCAGTCCAGGCAGTTGCCTGTAAGAAAAGCAGCACAGCATTCTGTGTCTCACAAGTGAGATGCAGATAACATGTTTCCAAACACTTAAAGCAGATACTCCAGGTAAAGGACAATAAAGCACACTTCCCTTGGAGGTTTTCTTCCAAGACAATCCACACATCAGCTTTGTGACAAGGAAACAGCGTGGCTCTGTACAGTGGCAGATGAAGCATAGGTACTGCACAGCTCACTCTTCACAATCCTCACCCCCAGCACTGCAGAGACCCTGGCTTTGCCTTCCTACTGGCTGGGGGAAGATTGATCTGGTGCTTATGAATGCTTATGGATGCTTTAGAATCAGCATTTGGTCACTGAAGGGACAATGGCCATAGCTCTGGCAGGCAAAGACTCCTGGCTGCCTTTGTAACTCTTTAATCCTCCCAGTGTTTTGGCAGTGCAGAGAGTAGAATCCTAGAATGGGTTGGGTGTTGGAAGTGATCATAAAAATCGTCTAGCAGGCTTGTTCAGGTTCAAGGCCAAAAATCACTGCACATACAGGGGTGAAGGGGGAAATTTTGATGGCACAATGGAACAAAGAGCTTAAAGAGAAAAAGGCAGTTGGGGTTTTCCTGTCACACCTCCCCACACTGGGGGTCTGCTGCAGCCAAAGAGAGTCAGAAGAACCAGGGAAAAGAACACTTTGTAGGCAGGTAAAAACTGAGCAAAACACCATTGCACCAAAATCAGAATGACCCTGTAAAACACTGAAGGATACAGCATGTAAGACCTGTCCTTCCCTCCGACTCCCTCCTCAGCCCAGGAGCTGTTCAGTTTAGGCAGCACAAGCACAGGCTCCAAGACACAGCACAAGCTCTGCCTGTCCTTTTGCAGACCTGGCAGCCAGGGCCTTCCCACTCTTATGGGTTTAGGCTTCTTAGGGAATTTTTCCCATTGTCATTGTGAAGATGCAGGGAACAGGAGACGGTGGCTGTGTGGAGATGGATGGTGGGTGAATGAGTTACATGAAGGAAGCGGCTGATAGTCCTGGCATGCCAACAGAATTGTCTGGCGAGGGGAATGGGGGTTTGGAAGTTTTGTAGCTGGCGGTGCTCTCTTGCGCTCAGGTGATGCGGAGCCGCGGTGCGGTGCCGGGGGCAGCGGAGCACTGTGTACTGGGATGTGGCTGCGCTGCAGGCTGGCAGCATGGGGGTTTGGGTGGGCTCAATAAGGGGGTTTGTGTGAGATCAGCACGGGGATTTGGGTGGGTTCAGCACGGCGGTTTGGGTGGGAGCAGCACGGGGGCTTTGGCCCCAGCTGGCCGTGGGCCGAAAGCAACAAGAGGGACAGCGGCGCTCCGTGACTCGGGAGCTCCGGGGACTGTGCTCTTGCCTGCTCTGTTCTGTACATCCAGTACAGAACTCTTGTTTCTCTTTCCAAATTTTTGCCTGGAAGCCCTGTAATGTCGAAGTCATAATCATTTGGAGGGAGGGGTCTTCCTTCTCTTCCAGGAAGGTTCTCACCTTCCGTGGCAAACATCTCTCTTTCAAACCCAAACGCCCCCAGACACCGAGCCTCAGTTGGAAAGCACAGCAAACCCTCAGCAGTACTTTTATTTCAGTGATGCACAGAAAGAGCCTCCATGGTAGCACCAGCTGATCAAAACAGGAAGAAAAGTCTGCACCAGTTCTCAGCAAAGCACTGGTGGGGAGGTGTGGGGAAGGGGAAAGCACGGCAGAAATTACTTGCAAGTTGTCCCCAACTACGACAGAAATCATCACAGACAATGAAATAAAACCAGATGTGGCAACCAGGCTTGAACTGCTGAGGATCATCTTGAGCAGTGATGTTCTTGATCTATCATTTCTTAATGGGATGGCAGGGCAGAGCAAGGCTGAATTGTTAAACTTGCACACAAAGCTATACTCAGATAAAAGAAGATTTTAGGGCAGTATGAGTTTCGATTTCAGAAATTTTATTTTGGATTATTTCACCTTAGCACCAAAGTTACACTGTTCCTGGTCAGCCTTGATGGCACGTGTAGCAAAAGCTGATCAGTGACTGCTGTTGTTGGGGGCTTTCCCTGCCCTCTCAGAGCTCTTCCTGACAGCTCATCAGCAGTACTATCTCTTCAACAATGCTGCCAGAGCAAGAGCAGCAAAACCCGTAAGAAAACCTACTGCTGCTGATACAGCACCTTCCTTAGCGGCTTCTTCGACCTGCAAAAGGAAAGCAAAATACAGGCTGGAAACATGAGTAGCACTTATATTTACACCAGCCAGCCCTCAACCTCCACCCCCACATGATAACATAGAACAGGCAGGGACAATCAGGGGGAATAAAGCAGTGGGACACATGTACCCCAGCAGCAGAAGGGTAACACCCAGGATTTTACCCCGAGGAGCTGGCATTCAGTGAGAGGGCTCTGTCAGGGTGCAGACAGACCACAGTGACCCTCCAGGCCCAGGGGCTCTGGGAGGCACCAGGGGCTCAGCCAGTGTCACTCACTTGATCAGAGAGTTCTATTCCGTAGCGGAGCTTTGTCACAAAGTGCTCACAGTTTTTGGTAATCACATTATAGGGCACCACCTTGCCAACCAATTCCTCAGCACGTCGGATGATCTTCTCCACGGGGAAAGGAGTGTAGGAGCGGTCGTACTTGTTGTTGACACGCCATTTATGTTTTCCCACCACCTCCTTCAGAAGCTGCTTCTTCACCGTGGCTCTTGTGGCGGATATTGATGAGCTGCTAGCCAAAGAGGACGTGTCTCCTTCATCTGGATAAGCCAAAGAGGAGATATTGCAGGCAGGCAGACCCTCTCTGGCCTCTCCAGGACCTCAGATGGGTTTCAGATTGCTCCTGGAAAATCCAGCTACACACACAGAGTCCAGCAGCAGCAGCCCATAGAGGGAGACAGGGCTCTTGGGGCATGCCAGCACGCACTCGGCACCCTGCCAGGTGGCACAAGCCTTACCTGTCACGTGGATGACATATCCATCCCCCACGTAGATTACCCAGTGCTGATAAACTGGCCGGAAGATCTCGATCAGGTCCCCAGGCTTGGGGTGGTCCCTGCCCTGTGCCATGTCAGCAGCGAGCAGTCAGGACGTGCAGCTGTGGCTGTGCGGGCTGAGCGCAGGGCAGAGCGCAGCGGGGAGGCGAGGGCTGTGCAGGGGCACCTGCCGGGAGCGCAGGCACGGAGGGTGTCAGTGCCGGGCCCCGAGGGCAGCGGCTGCCGGAGCGGCGGCCCCGCTCGGAGCAGCGGAGCCGGCTCGGG